GGAGGGGAAGGGAAAGGAAGTGAGGGGAAGGGGAGGGAAAGGAAGTGAAGGAAAGGAAAGGGAAGGGAAGGGAAGGGAAGGGAAGACTCCATTATAAGAGGAGTAATAGAGGAGAGAAAGTGCTCCAGGGGCACTTCCTACTGACCATCCGGTGAGAACTGGTCCCTCTCAAACACGGTGATACAGAGGACTTCCTGCTCCAGGTCTCTAATGAAGAACTGGCAGTTGGAATTCCACTTGGGGTTCAGAGTGTCCTGGATGGTCTTGGTGATGTGGCATTGGGAGCCCATGGTCACCTCGCAGTACGGGTTGCTCTTTCCTGGGGAGAACAGAAGCTGTGGCCAGGCAGGAAGGACAACGCAGGGGGATCCCAGTACCACCGCCACACTAGAAATGGGGGAGCCAGGCTGTGTTGTTTAGCTAGAACCTCGACCTTAGGCTGGGTGAGAACACTCACAATGACCATGTTTAAAGAACTAACAAATAGATGAGTGAGTGTCTAAGCCAGGTCCTTCCTGTCACTCACACCAGCCTTCTGGTATATCCTCCCTACTGTAAAAGCAGTCTCAGGGGTTTTTTATTATTATTATTTCACAAATAAAATAGGCGGGGAATGTGGCTTAGTGGGAGAGTGCTTGCCTAGCATGCATGAAGGCCTAGTTTTGACTCCTTGGTACCACATACTCAGAAAAAGCCGAAAGTGGCGCTGTGGCTCAAGTGATAATGTGCTGGCCTCGAGCACAGAGAGGCTCAGGGGATAGTGGCCAGGCCCTGAGTTCAAGCCCCAGGACTGGATAAATAAATTAATTAATTAAAGTAAAACTCTGGCATTTGAACAATTGCTGAAAAGACCAATTCTAGAAGGAAATGTCAGATTAAAATAAGAAAAAGATAGCATTTGATGTACAGGTGTCGGGAAACATGGGGAATGGAGGACAGTCTTCCAGCACAGGTGGAGTCGCGGTCCTTACCATGCGATCGGCAAGGCTTCAACTCGATGCCTTCCACAACGTTCACCATCAGCCTTCCGATTCCTGTTGCTCTTTGGGAACGGACTATGATGACAGAAAAAAGCAACAGAAAGTGCTTCATTGTAGCGTGCGATGACTTTCCCTTCCCAGTGTGCCTCATGACCCATTGTACACACCTTCCCACACTGAAAAATGCCTCTCCTCCCTCTTGATCTCTTCTCTCCTCTGCTGATCCTACTTCCATCCATCTTCCATCCATCCTTCCAAACATCCATCCATCTTCCATCCATCCTTCCATCTTCCATCCATCCATCCATCCTTCCATCCATCCACCTATCCATCCATCCATCCATCCTTCCATCCACCTATCCATTCCACTTCCATCCATCCATCCATCTTCCATCCATCCATCCATCCTTCCATCCATCCATCCATCCATCTTCCATCCATCCATCCATCCATCCTTCCATCCACCTATCCATCCCACTTCCATCCATCCATCCATCTTCCATCCATCCATCCATCCATCCATCTTCCATCCATCCATCCTTCCATCCCACTTCCATCCATCCATCCATCCATCTCACTGATCCCACTTCCATCCAGTCTTCCATCTATCCTTCCATCCATCCAGTCTTGCTACCTTCCCTGCTTCCCCCAACCCCACCCAGCGGCAGGATGCTGGTCCCGGTCGGCAGGCAATACATTACCCAGGTATGCCTTCTCTCGCTTCTTTTTCTCAGTCTCTATGTAGAGCTCAGAGGCAGCTTTGATTTTCTGCACCCAGGCAGTCCTTGGACAGGAAAAGACAAAAGGTTGCCAAATTGAATCAGGACAAAAAAAGAAAGAAAGAAAGAAAAAAAGCTTGAGGTCTGTTCAAATTCTGTTTCTAAGACCCTGTTTCCTTTGTTCATTTAATTTTAATGACAAAGGCTCAAGCTTGATTTTGTGATGCTAATAATTAGTAAGAAAGACCTAAGAGGTATTCTTAGGCTGGACTCGACGCCTGCCCGCAGCATCTGCATCCTTGTGGAGGAAAGTCTGGGATAAATGTCACCTTGCAGGAGCTAGTTCCTCGCCTTCCCTTAGCGAAAAGTATCTTTGTCCAAGCACCCCTCCCCTCACCACCCCAGGGAAGAAGAAAAGCCATGTCCCAGACTGGGGAGCAATTCACATGAAAGCCTGAAGTCTGCTTATGGGAAGCTCTTTCCGTGTAGCATTTTTTTTTCCCCTTCACTCTTTCTGAGAACCATATGCCCGGTAACTTTAGCCAAATCCCTTGCTTGGCACAAATGCCCAGGAGAAGGTTGCTGGCCTTGTGTCAAGCTCACCCTTCAGAAAATGATCTATTTCGTTTGGCTCCAAGGACAGAGTCTTGAAGCAAAAGTCCCCCACAGCCTGAGAATCAGAGATTGCCTGTCCCGGACGGGGGGCGGGGGGGGAAGGGAGGAAGGGAGGGAGTAGGGGCGATGGGGCTCCAGTATGAGTGGACCTGTGAATCTCCAGGTCACTCTCCTCTGAGTGTCTGCCACCCAGGAGGACCTGAAGAGATCTGGGATATTCTGTTTAGTCTCGGGGGTGGGGGGAGAGGGGAGGGGGGCTGAATGTTTCCTTTAAAAAAATTCTCAAGCAAAATTTGTTTCAAACCATTTTATTTTGAGACATCCATGTCACGTATCCAGCTTCTGAGAGGTTCTAGAAAAACAGACGATGCGCTCCCCACCCTCCACCAGAGGCTGGGCAAGGCTTCACCTCCGGAGGATGCCGGACCTGCGGCCACGCGGCCATGCAGGGCTTACCGTTCGTTTATGCTCTCTGCTCGGAGGGTATACACTCGGTCGATGTGGGAAATGTGGAAGATGGGTTCGTCTCCGGAAGGGTCAGTGGGCAATTTTACTAGAACTTCATTTAAGAAAATAGGCTGCAAAGCAATAATGCAGAGGCATTAAAAAACAAGGCAGAGGGACTGCAGATTTGGTACGCTCCAAGGTTATGTTTGTGTGTGTGCATGTAATGAAGCTGCAGGTGAGTGTGTGTGTGTGTGTGTGTGTGTGTTCACACATGTTTATGGGTGTGGCTCAGTAAGCCAGATTAAAGGCTTGTGTGTTCCCCAGTTAAAGTATACTCAGACAAGACACCTGGGTATGGTAGCTTACAACTATAATTCCCAGCTACTCAGGAGGCAGAGGGACAGAGATCTGAAGCCTGCCCGAGCCACTCAGAGTGAGAACTTAATCTGAAAAACAAACTAAAAGTCAAAGGATGGGGGACGTGACTAAAGCGGCAGAGTGCTTGTCTAGTGTGAGGCCTTGAATTCAATCACCACTACTGCAAAAATGAAAACAAATAAAAAAACTAAGCCAGAATAAGGATTTTCTGTTGATACTAACTTTTAATAGATTATGCACACATTCATGTGAACTAGGACCTTGCATTTCTTAGGCAGACAGTTCATTACTTTCTATTTAGTTTAGGTTTTTTTTGGGGGGGGCAGGTGAACTGGATAGTGATCCTCCTATTACACTTCTCATGTAGCTGCAATGCTGCCACCACACTTGGCATTTTCATTGCACTGAGGTCTCATGTGCTTTTTGCCCAGGCAAACCACGGTCCTCCTGTTCTCTAGTTCCTGTGTGTCTGAAGGCTACTCTGGCCTAAGTCGTGGTGCCCAGCCTGCAGGTATTTTTTAAAGTCCTTTCAAAATAAGACCTAATCGGTCCCTTTTTCCCACCATATACACTAAATGGCAAATACCTTCACATCCAAGTAATTCTGTCCGGGGATTCTCAGACAACGTGTCTAGTAACAGTCTACATAAAAACACTGCTTTCCCCTCAAATATAGTGCAGCTGCCTCTGGGAAAATTCTTCCATAAAAACATACCCTCCATGCACAGACAAATTTAGAAAAACACTAGCCCGTGACACAGAGACGCGAACACAGCCATGAGGTACGGACGGACCAGATGCACGGCTTAGGGAAGTCTTCCCCACATCGACTGTTCTGGTGGGCTTGGGTGGTGAAGAGAGGCACACGTGTTCCAAGGACAGTGTGGAAGCTGCCTGTGGGTACTGGGCCTGTGATGTTTATCTCTCCTTGCCTGCATCCTCCGCACACAGGACCATGAGTTCCTGTGGCGTGGGGTCTGTCTCTCACCCGTGGAAGGGACACCACCTTACTTGGCCGTGATAAATCTTTTGTTCATGGAGACGCAGATTTCGGTGACTCTGAATCCTCACACATCCATCTTGCCTCCGTCCTCCACACTACGGCCTCAAAGCCTGCTAAAGCCCTGGCTCTCCTTTTGGGCCAACGTTCCTTCCTCCCCAGACACAGCCCCCTGCTTTGCCATCTCTGGCGGAACTTACTGTTTTGTACATCTTATACTGCAGGTTAGATTTAGGGCTGAAGACTTTGTCGGTGCCAGAAGAGCCCAAAGGCTTTGTGATTTGGGTCAGGAGAAGGAAGTCGTTGAAAAGGAAACCATACAGCTCCTTGTTGCTCTTGGCCTTGTAGAGCTTCCCACTGTGCAGAAACTTGCGTGGCCCCAAGCAATTGGTCACTGAATTGAACACCAGTTGCTGAGAAAGGAAAAGAAACCCAAAGAAGACAGGATGAAGAAAGGTCATGGTTTTCACTTTGGTCTCTTTGCAGCTGAAAGCCTAGGCTCCATCAGAATCTAAGGTCAGCCGATCTGCACACAAATCAAGGATAGCTTTGAACACTTCAGGTAGTATCTTTTGGAGCCAAGAAGTCCAAAGACAAAGGCCACAGCTCTGGGATTTGCATCAGAATGTGTCTTGGTTCTAATTCCTGAGGCTTTTGACTAGGGATTGGATGGATTCTAAAGGTGTAGAAGGGCCTGTTTCTCTCTTTTGCTTACTGGCTAAATGGACAGCAGGAAGAGAATCCCTATCACCTCCCATGTTGATGACTATCTGCCCAGTGAGAGGCGAAACTTTGGAATGGTGTGGACCAGCTGCAACAAGAAGGCCCTGCATGGGCTCGGACAGTGCTTCTAGAAAGCAGAATCTTCATGCCCCTGGGCTTCGAAGGGGCTGAGCTCAGGTGAGAGGACTTCATAAAGTTCCCCTTTTGTGACAGCAGGGGGAGAGATGGAAGAAGGCAAGGCTCTAGCTGTGCACCAGGCAGAGAGATGCTGCAGCTTCATGGTCTCCACCTGTTCATACATCTGTGCCATACCTCATCTGCCAGCCTTCTTGACCAAGTTTCTCTCCAGAACTACTCATCTTTCCAACCTCTCGGAAGGGCAATGGAGTTCACCACGCACATTTCCCCCAAGAGATCCTGGAAGCCACCTGCTACTTTCAACGTGGGAGACAAACTCAGTGGTGACTCAGGGACTCTAGGCCTTCATGTGATAAGGGGAGGGGCCAGTTTGTCCCACACTAAGGTTTGAGGAGGAAGAACAGCTTCTGACCGTCCCCACTGAGGCTCTGAGAGAGCCCAAAAGGAACCTTTAACGAAGAGAGTTCATCCCTTAAACTCCTAACAGGAAACCTGGAGTTTTATCCTGGAGATCTACCTTCCTGCTTTCCAAGAAAGAGTTCAAGTCTCCTGGGGACAATCAGTCCAGAAAAGGCAAGTGTCACTGGTTCCAATGTCCTTAAAGAGGATGTCCTGTACTCATACGAGAGTTTACAGTCACTGACTAGGACCCAGGAGCCATCTTTACATTACTCTGTCTTCACTTGAGGATGCTAGAGACCACATTTATCTGAAATCACTGGTGTGCACTCAGCTCTGGATGCCACACGGCCTACAGTGTGGTCCCGAGACAGAAACCAGAAGCCAACGTGTTCCTTTCCCATCGCCGTGGACACCATCATGGCAACAATGCACTGAGGTGCAATAGCTAGAAAAGGACAATCAACAAGAAGGACAATAATCTGGCTCCAAGGACGGCTTATCAATGCCAGTGAAACACTTGGGGAGAATGTTATTCTATTCTTAACATCTTAAGATGAACAAGACTCAGGTCACTGAGCCCCGGGCTGAAGCAGTTAGATGCAGGGAAGACCCCTTTCTAAAGTTCATACCACCACCTCAGCCTATTTGCCTGACAGAATCAGGTACTGAATCCACTGAAGCCAGGACTAAGGCTGCGTCCCTTTGATGGACACGCAGGCCTTGCTTGGTCCTTCCCTACAGGAGGATGGCTTAGTGTCCCTCTACACTTCTCCCAGTGCCCTGTGCAAGTCATGCTGCTCTTCAGTCCTAATGCCCGTCCTGGGGCTCATGACAGAGGGGGGCGATCTTCAGCTTCCCAGGGCAGGCAAATGTCCCCCTGCCCAATGCCTCCTGGACATTTTCATGACTGGCCCCTCTCCCTGTCACCGAGCTCCACCTCATCATTCCTTACATTCTGTTGTCGACATGAGTTCACCCTCAGCTCCCTCTAAGGACATAAACCCTTAGAGTATAAGAGGCGTACCTTCTTTGCTTTGATGTGCTTGTTGTTTAGAATTGATCAAGGGCATGGGGTAGATGCTCCATTATGAATGAGTGAGGGACCAAGTGGGACAATCAATCCAAATAGGTTCCTGGTCCCACATAGGAGCCTGCAGCCATCACCTGGCTGCAGGTGATCACAGGGCTGCTCTCACACCTTTGCCGCACGCACGGCGGGTGGGTAGGGATGAAGCAGCAGCCGGGAGAGACCGTTAGTGATGGCCTCTGCACATAGTAATGGCTGTCTTTGCAGCTTAAAAGAGGAACACGAAATACAGGGTGGGGAGGATGCACGTGATGCTCTGTCCCTGGGTATCAGGGACAGTCCTAATGAGTGGTGTGCACGCACACGTATGCATGCACACATGCGCCCGTGTCTGTGCTTTTTGGACCTCCAGGCAGCTGCCACACAAATTCACAACTGCAACTCACACAATTGGCATATCCACAGATAAAGTTGTGAGAAACACTGAGTGCGCATCCAAACATCATACTATGGTGCTGGGGATACAGTGCTTGCTTGCCTAGCCCTGGGTTTGATTCCTTGCCTGGCAAAATTTTGCAACTCACAATCAGTAAAGAAAAAATAAGGCATGATGAACAAGAGATAGAAAAAAGAACAAACAGAAGAGTAAGAGGGAGAGAAGAATTCAGTCCTAATATGTGGTACTTATCCTATGAAACTAAGAAAACTGAGAGAAATGGCAGGGTGAGGGAGGAAGGGGGAGAATTAGGTTGATCATGATGCCTTGTACTGGGCTGGGAAGGTGGCTCAGTGGTACAGTGCTTGCCTTGCATGCATGAAGTCCTGGGTTCGATTCCTTAGCACCATGTAAGCAGAAAAAACTGGAAGTGGTGCTGAGGCTCAAGTGGTAGAGCGCTAGCCTTGAGCTGAAGAGCTGAGGGACAGCGCCCAGGCCCAGAGTTCAGGCCCCATGATTGACATAAATAAATAAATGGAATTTTCTATTTTAAAAAAAGATGCCTTGTACTTATAACCTGGTTTATTGAATGCTAACTCCTTTGTGCAACCTTTGAAAACAATAAAAATTTAATTTAAAAAAGACCTGCAACTGGGTGCTAGATCTATCATATTTGGAACATAAAAATGTTTAAAATCTGTTAAGGAATAAACGAGAAGCATGATGAACATCTGTAAAGAACAAGACACACACACACACACACACACACACACACACACACACACACACAAAACCCAACAGATTGCAGAAAATAAATAGAACTGCTAGCAATGGGAAATTATAGGACGGGAAAAAAAAGAAAAGTGCCATGGATGAACTAAACCACAGATGAGAAGCCACTGGAGAGCGCATGAGGGATACGGAGAAGAACGTGGCTCTTGGTTTTCCTTGTTCTGTTTCAGGCCCGCTGTGGAGGCTGGGCCGGGGGAGGACTGGGTCCCACGCTGCAGGCAGTTACCTCGGACAGGCCTTCACACTGCACGTGGGCTTGGATCCACTCCAGCCGGTCAGAGTTCTCCTTCTCACGCACCCCCTCATTGACCTGGGAGCACAGCTCCTCGGCTTTCTCCAGGGCGTGCTTCAAGTGGCTGTGGTCAGGGTGGTTTTCAGGCGTGTTTTCCAGAATCTGCACAGAAGAAAATGATCCCCTTGTTAAGGCGCTCTTGGATGCCCTCTCTGTCCGTCTGCACACAAGGGTGGGCCTGGGATCTTTGGAGGACCCAGGGCAGGGTACTGCAGAGATGGGGCACAGATCTTCTGAATGGCGCACACCTGAGCCACCATGCCTCTGTGCACTCACCGTGGGGCATGGGACGGATGTGGTGTGTGATCGCCACTCCTTTATGTCTCCAGTAAATGGCCTTGCCCAGAATACCTCCTCTTCACAGGCTCATTGGGAGCCAAGTTTCCTATTCATAAGTAATGAATGCTCAGGCCTCAGCCAGGCCCTGTACCTTGGAGTAGCCACAGGGCAAACGATGTGACCTGTCCACACATACAGACTCCCACAATCTAGGGAGATACAGGGTCAGGAAGCCCAAGGGGACTACATAATTTCTCTTCGATGATCTTCACAAAGGAAAAAAAGAACTCAGACACACAAACACACAAACACAAAAACCCTCAGCCCAGAGCCCTGGCCCAGCTGCCAGCACGTGCGTCTGGAACCGTAGCAGATGGGTGCCTTGGGGTGCGAGTATGCTTTTCTTTCTTTCTTTTCTTTCTGTGTTGGTTCTGGGATTTGAAATCAGGGCCTGGATGCTATCTCTGAGCTTCTTTTGTTCAAGGATAGCACTCTATCACTTAAGCCACACGGAGCTCCATTTCTGGCTTTTTGGTGGTTAATTTCATGGACTTTCCTGCCTGGGCTGGCTTTGAACCACAATCCTCAGATCCTAGCCTCAGAGTAGCTAAGATTACAGGCATGAGCCACCAGCACCCTGCTGGAAATTTATGTTTTTCTGGGTAGACCCTTCTAAGCTAATGATTAAGAATGCCATTTCTAGGGCTGGGAAGGTGGCTCAGTGGTAGACCGCTTGCCTTGCATGCATGAGGCCTTGGGTTCGTTCCTCAGCACCACATAAGCAGAAAAATCCAGAAGTGGCACTATGGCTCAAGTGATAGAGCGCTAGCCTTGAGCTGAAGAACTGAGGGACAGTGCGCAGGCCCAGAGTTCAGACCCCACGACTCACCAAAAACAAAAACAAAAAAAAACAGAATGCTAGTTCTTCTGTGCCAGACAGTGCATAAGAAATTGTACGTTTATCAAATAAAGCTCCTTTGTATTTGACTCTTAAAGTTAAAACTAAAAATGATCATAAATTGGGGATTGTATATTTCTATGCATTATCCATCGTATATGTTATCTACCACCCACTGTATTATCTCTGTGCACATTCCTACACATATTTCTATAATGTGCTTATATGTCTATGCAATATCTTCTATACAGTTTATCCCACATATTGAGCAGTTGTCATGGTGATGTCTATTCATTCACAGCAGTGATCTTAAAATAATGCAAAGTAGAATATTTTTAATTTGGCCTTTGAAAAATGTTTGATCACTGAATATAAAGATTATTTTGATTCACTTGGAATTTATAGAATTAATTCAAAGGCCCTCATTTTGCTAAAAAATAGCCACCTACAAATGGATGGAAATGGATTTATTTAAATTTGCATTTTTTTAAATAAAGGGACTTGTCTCAGGAAAAAAAATAGGTTTATTTACTTCATTCTTAGAAATGATTTGTACATGTATTTGTGATATGTAATTGACTGTATTTTGAAAACTCCAAGGATATTGCAATCTTTATTTATTTATTCATTTATTTTTGTCAGTCATGGGCCTGAACTCTGGCCTGGGTGCTGTCCCTCAGCTCTTCAGCTCAGTGCTAGCACTCTATCACTTGAGCCACAGCACCACTTCTGGCTTTTTCTGTTTATGTGGTGCTGAGGAATCAAACCTAGGGCCTCATGCATGTGAGGCAAGCACTCTACCACTGAGCCGCCTTCCCAGCCCTAAAATTTATTATTTTTTTTTAAATTTTTTTTTTTTTTTTGCCGGTTGTGGGGCCTGAACTGGGCGCTGTCCCTCAGCTCTTCAGCTCAAGGCTAGCGCTCTACCACTTGAGCCACAGCACCACTTCCAGCTTTTTCTGCTTATGTGATGCTGAGGAATCGAACCCAGGGCCTCATGCATGCAAGGCAAGCACTCTACCACTGAACCACCTTCCCAGCCTAAAATTTATTTTTGTAAGTGAAGAAAATAAAAAGAATCCTAGCTATTGAGCTATATCTCTTGGCTTAAAGTTCTAGCCACAAGCTGGATGCTAGTGGCTCACACTGTTATCCTAGCTCCTCAGGAGGCTGAGATCTGAGGATCACGGTTCAAAGCCAGCGTCAGCAGGGAAGTCTGTGAGACTCTACAGAATCTACAAAGAAAAAAATAAAAACCTGGAAGTGGAGCCATGTCTCAAGTGGTAAAAGCTCAGTGCCTAGGCCCTGAGCTCAAGTCCCATAACTGCTACACACACACACACACACACATTTCTAGCCACAATCTGGGTTGGTTGCATAAAGGTTCTGAGTTTCCGTTTCCTCTCACTGTTATCAAATATTTAGTCTTAGTCATTTCGGTTTTTCAAACATTTCTTGTCACTCCGTACCTTTCCAATTCTCTTTCAAAGCATTTGGCAAGCTTTCAGTTCTTTCTCCTAGATGCTTAGAAGACAACTATAATATATTTTTTCTGGTTTGTATGTGTCTGTGTGTCTGTGTGTCTGTGTGTATGTGTGTGTGTGGTGTGTGTGTGTGTGTGGTGTGGTGATGCGGGGGGGGGGGGGGTTGTCGGTCATGGGGATTGAACTCTGGGCCTGGGCACTATCCCTGAGCTCTTCAGCTGAAGGTGAGCATTCTACCTCTTGAGCCACAGCGCCACTTCCAGTTTTCTGGAGATAAGAGTCTCATGGACTTTCCTACCTTTGCTGGCTTTGAACCACAATCTTCAGATCTCAGTCTCCTGAATAGCTAGGATTACAGGCATGAGCCACCGGTGCCCAGCTTGTTGTTGTTATTGTTTTAATTAATGACTGGATTTTTTTTGTCCTTTTCTTTTCTTGATGGGGAGCAAGCAGTACTGGGATTTGAACTTAGGACTTTGTATTAAGCCATGCCACCCGACTGTATTTCTTTGTTTGCTTGTTTAATAGGAAGGCCTCTCAATTCTTTTTTTTTCCTCCTCAGTTAGATCTAGAAAATTAACCTTAAAATCTTGTTTCGTATTTGTTTGCAACTAAACAAGATAAATATTGAGTGAATTAAATACCAACTGTGGAGTTGGGATGAGAAATAGTAGACTGAAAGAAGCATCCAAAATGAGCTGTCACACTGAGCCCAAGGCCTGGCTGTCCTGTGGGCTGGAGGTGGGCCGGGCTGCGGGGATGGTCTGTAGAGAAAGGAGATTCTCCTGGGAAAAGATAGACCCAGCACTGAGGAGAGGGACAGCCAAACTCCTTACAGTATATAGCTGGAAAGTGGAAGATGAGAATACATTCCAGTATTGGATTCAAATCAGAAATATTAGTGTGGAGTCATAGGTATGAATAAAAATCGTTAAATTGGCCTAGAAACAAACAGAAATGCATGTGTGTACATATGCATAGGTGCATAAATGTACCTGAACGTGCATACATGTATTTCCCAGCACTGCCACTGAAAAGCCAGAAGGCGATGCCATTCCAATAGTGGTGAGCTCACACCGACGCTCAGATCTGGGTTTCTAAATACCCTTCTCCTTTAAAAGGAATCAGATCTAAGCCCCTCCCCAACCACTCTACTCCTGCAATGGTGTCATATAGGCTCAGGGGATGCACAGTTCTCTCTGTTCATTTCACAGCCCCGGACACAGAAATTCTGTTTCCTTCCCTTTGGGTATTGCAGCAAGTGGACTCTCTCTCAATGGCCCATCAGACAGGAGGTAGGAAGATCAGAGCTCTGTGCCTGTATTGGAAAAGGCATCAAGCACTGAGCTCTCATTTTCTGCCCTAGCAGCCACTTGGTTGCATATCTAGAGGAAGCACTGTTAGTTCTTTTCATGCTAAACCGTTTTGGGATTTTTCCTGAGTTACTAAACAGATGGTTCTAGCAGCTTGCCAGGACATGATTTTTATGCAAAAGTTACCAGGTGTGCTGGCTGGGACCCTTTTGGCACCGAGAAGCGTTCTCTGCTCACAAAGGTATGGAAAGTACTTACGTTTTTAATGATCAGTGGGTACCTTGTTACCCTCTGCATGGGCTTCAGTATAAAGCTAGACAGTGGCATTCCTTTACACCGAGGGTCCATTGCCAATCTCTGAAATAAGAGATTTATTTAAATGTACTTTTAGTGGAAAAAATCTGCAAAATCCAAAGTCAATAACATCAGCACTCACTTAGGATTTCCCCGTCCATTGCCCCATTCATCTGGACAATAGGGGAGGAGCCCACAGCTGGAAGGTCAGACTCACTGCGCCCCCGGCAGTACACACTGCTCCTTACTGAGCAGAGATTCTGGCTTTCCAGAGAGTATTTCTTCCAGATGTCTAAAAATAAAAACTTTATCCCCTCCCAGGGAATCACCAGACAAGGCAATCAATGACAAAATTCTCCTCAAGGTTGATCCTCTTTGTCTAGTGATGGGTAGAACCTGTCCAGGCCCCCAGACCCCCCTGCAGGGAAGGAAGAGGTGGAGCTGAGACTTGAAGGCCAAGCCTCCAGTTTCAGCCTTCAGCTCATCTCTATCCCTCCCCCCCCCCCCTGCCCTCTTTCCTTCCAACACTTGTTGCCAACTCTGTCAGTCCCTCTAGTGGATAAAAGCCCTTTTCCTCCCAAGAGGAGGGCTGTGAGTCACAGGGGCTGTGATTTCTCTCTCAAAGGCTCAGGTTGGATTTAATGCCTTAGACACAGGCAGCTTCTCTCCCCCGGAGCCCTGCCATCTGACCTAGGCCAGGTCTGCAAGCATCTGGGCCTGATGTCCCTCCATGGACATCAGATCTTCCAGGAGCACCTCACAGGAGGCAAAGGCACGCCAGACTCCTGCCGGGTGCGTCAAGGGAGGTGAAGAAGAGCAGGAGGGGAGAGACACCCAGCTCCTTGTCCTGGGTTGGTGTCAGCATTTCCCTGAAGTTCAAGTGCATCTGCTGATGATGGCATCCTGCCTGCATCCAGGAACTGGGCCTTTGACAGACTGCAGCCCAGCGTCCACCCTTCATCTTCAATCACCCTTGTCTTACTTCTTAGCCATCTTTTTTTGCCAGTTCTGAGGCTTGAACTGAGGGCCTGGGCACTGCCCCTGGGCTTCTTTTGCTCAAGGCTAGTACTCTACCACTTGACCCACAGCACCACTGTCAGCCTTTTCTGTTTATGTGGTACTGAGGAATCAAATGCTGAGGCTTCATGCATGCTAGGTAAGCACTCTACCACTGAGCCACATTCCCAGCCCTTAGCCATCTTTCTTCCACTTGAATGATCTCAGATTTGGCTAGGAGGTCTCAGCATTTAATACTGAGACAAATAGATTCTGGCCAAGATGAAGCCACGCTTATACCTCATAGAGATGACTGAACAAATACTATTCTTGGGGAGGTGACAATGGTCAGCCCTCCGAATGCCTGGGGTGCAGAGACCGGTTAGCATTATCAGTTTGCTAGTCAATGGAAGTTGTTTTACTCTCTTTCTGTTTTCTTCTCCCTGGGAGATCTGGGATGTGGCCAGGACAGAGACCCTGCAGCAGTCATGTCACTACCTCCACCAAAGGTCCCCTGGTGGACACGTGGCTCTGCAGACCTGGCTAGCTGAGAGGCAGTGTATGCGGCACCCTATGCAGACTGGCTTGACCTTCCCAGAGCTCGGGCCAAGGTTTTCCCCTGGGCAGGCAGAACCCATAGGGAAAGATGGAGGGGGCCGCAGGGAAGCCTGGGCATTGGGAATGGGCACCAAGAAAGAACAGAAGATGCTGAGGCTCGCTAGAAGGAGAGTCTGGAGCCCTTCTGGGCCCAATCAGAGGAGGCAAAGACTTAGACACGCCTCCCAAACCTTCTAAACAGAAACTGCTTCAAAGCATCCAGGCTTGGGGCTGGGAATGTGGTTTAGTGGTAGAATGCCAGCCTAGAGCAAAAGAAGCCCAGGGACAATGCCCTGGCCCTGAGTTCAAACCCAGGACTGGCAAAAAGAAAAAGAAAAAGAAAGCATCTAAGCTTGGGACCGGCCTCGTCATCTCCATGTGCACCATTTGGTGACAGCTACACTGTCCAGCTAGTGTCTGCCCCTTCTTGCTTAGCCAAGGTTTTAGTCTCTGTTTGCTCTGTGTGTGTGTGTGTGTGTGTGTGCGCGCGCGCGCGCACGTGCGCGTGCGCTGGTCCTGGGGCTTGAACTCAGGACCTTGGTGCTGTCCTGAGCTTTCTGGCTTAAGGTTAGCACTCTACCACTTGAGCCACAGTCTCACAGTCTTTCTTGCCAAGACTGGTTTCGAACCACAATCCTTCGATCTCAACCTCCCGAGTAAATAGGATTCCAGGTGTGAGCCACCAGCCCCCGGCTGTTGGCTAATTTCTATTAGGCTCTCTACAAACCCTGAAGATGGGCACTCCGGAGGACGGGAGGAAGGGTCTCCCTGCAGCTGGGGTTGCTTACTTTGACGAACTCCTTAAAGTCCGGGGCCTCATCGGTCTTCTGCTGGATCAGCGCCGCCCCGTTGAGCTGGCAGCTGCAGAAGCGGATGTAGGGCTGCATGTGGGGTAGCTGCGCGCTCAGAATGTCCCCGATCATCTTCACAGGCATCTTCTCCCCGGACATCTTCTTGCGGACCCTCAGCGCTCTGCGTGGAAACACGGGAGGTGAGCCCCACCTGCACACCGCCTGCCAGCCCCGCGACACACGGCTACAGAAACGGAATGTGTGTGAGGGGCATAGACGAGAGCGCCACTAGAGCATCTATTTGGAAGACAGGGAATCGAGAAAGAAGTGATTGGAGTGACAGAGAGGCACCACTGTGGCATTTTTTTCTTTGGGACCATGTGCCACCATGGTTCTCCTTCGCTTCAGGATTCAGACGGGATGCCTGTGTTGGCATCTCAGCTCATGGATTATTGGTGGTGAGAATTCCACGCTGCTGGGGCCTAAGAACTGAGCTTATTTCTGGAGACCTTGGCACCCCAGGGAAGGTGTCATCGTCAGGGGCTTTCAGACGACACAGACCATAATGGAGATGGCAAATCAATAACCACACACACACACACACACACACACACACACACACACAATAGTCCCAGGATGTGTGGCACAGCCCGGTCTAAATGATCATTTGGACTATCTCTGCCTTTCACTATTCATTACTATGGTTAATTTGAAGTTGACTAAGAATTCTAGAAGGAGACTAGAAGGTTTTTGTGATAACAATGAGACTGTGAGCCCAAAATGGAAACTAAGTAGAGAGACATTGGAAGGACTGGGGTGCATCGAGGAGATGGCATGTGGGACTGGGCCTCCATCCTTCTACCTCTAAAACACAAGCTCTGAACACCAGCAATGCAAACAACTGACCACGGGCCGAAGCCTCCAAATGATCCAAATGCACCTTTCTTCTTCCTAAACTGATTATCCCCAGCATTTGTGACAGCAACAGAGAGCTAGCTGACACTATGTTATCCCTATTTCCTATTGGGGAAACTGAGGCATGCGGAAATGGAATGCCTTGGCCAAAAAACTGAAGCCTCGGCCAAAGCTAAAATAAAAGGTGACCGGAGCAGCCCTTGAACCTAGGTGTGCCGCCCACCCATCTAAGGAAGGCCTGAATGGATCTTAACTTAGCCTTTCTGCTATCACTCCTGACTGCGTCCTGAAGGGGCTGCACCTAGATTTTGGATAGAAAAATGTTCTAAGCCTTTCTGCCTGCCCTGCTTCTACGGCACATCACTTACTCAGCACAGCTCCCCAGGAAGGACGCTAACCATGTGATCTAACATGTCACCAGAATCATCACTACTAGAAAATCGTTGTATCACAGTTAGCTTTCTTTGGTTTTCATTGTAAAATTTTCACTTATTAGAGCCAGGTGTAGTGGTCCACGCCTATCACCCCAGATACATGGGAGGCAGAGGTAGGAGAATCATGGTCCAAAAGCAACACTCTGTCTGGAAAATAAATAAATGAGAGCAAAACAGGGGGCTAGAGGTGTGACGCAAGTTGTAGAGCCCTTGTTGAGCAAGCCACGGCCCTGAATTCAAACTCAGGTTTGCCAAAAAAAAAAAAACCCAAAACCCACCACTATCTGTTGGTTGGATTCTGTGGTTCCCTCAATACAAGGGGTGAGTCTCATCCTCGCATCAAGAATGGTGATAGAAAGCGGTTTTCTCATAGCAGTCCAGGGACTGTGGCCTTAATTCTCTGTCCCCCAAACTCCCCTCTTCCAGCCCCCTAGAAACCATAACACGAGGATTGCTCCTTCCATGGAAAAATGATGTCTATTTGGCCAAGCAAATAAACCAAAGTGTTCACTGAATGATTTACCACGTAGGTGCACATTCCAGAATTCTTTCGAATTTTCTGTAGTTTTGAAATTCTTCATAACAAAATGTTAGAAGGAAGAAAAAGAAATCAAGATTCTCAGGGAGCTCCTGTTAAGTAGACGTATTTTATCTGGAAGATGCAAATTACAGACCCCTCTCCCATGTAATCAGGTTATCCGAGGAGCAGGGCCGGAGGAGCAATGGCCTTGCAGTGGGAGCGGGGAGGAGCGCCAGGCATGCATACCAGGGCTGACAGCATACCAGTGGCACAGCGCCCTTGCTCCTCCAATAACCTTGAGTGGCAGACAAAACTTCTGTCTTGTGTGAATCCTAGAGTTCAGCCGCCACTACCACACACACACACACACACACACACACACACACACACACACACACACACACACTATTCGTACCATATCTATAATCTCAGAGCTGCTAAAATAAAAGCTGCCCAAGGTGGCTGTCTGTTCTAAACAGCTACCTTATTAGCTGTTTAACACCAAGTTAGAAGGTGCTAGAGCCCAGGAAATCTTTGGAACATTTGGCTCCTGGCTCTGTGAGCTTTCCATTGGAGGCAAGACTGAGGGGAAGCCCCAGGCTCAGGACCCTGGCATTCTGCACAGAGCCTACCGACTGTGTGACTTAATATAAGTCACACAACCTCTCTGAGCTTGGGTTCTCCAACAGTCACAGTGCTTTCATATCTTGCTTCAAGTCCCTGAAGAGCTCTGGAAAGGGACACGGGGAGAGAAAGAAGGGAAGGCAATTGTACGGAGTGGAGAGCCAATGGCCAACGTTATTGATGTGTCTTTCCTTTTCTAAGGGGCCACTGGGGACATCAGACACATTTCCCATGTCTCTACCCCTGCTAGAGCTGTCTGAGGAAAAGTTGTTAACTGTAGGTGTGTGTGTGTGTGTGTGTGTGTGTGTGTTTTGTGTGCGCAGGTCCTGGGGTTTAATCAGGACCTGGGTACTGTCCCTGAGCTTTTGTGCTCAAAGCTAGCATTCTACTCCTTCAGCCATAGCTCCATTTCTGGCTTTTGTCATTGTTAGTGGTGGTCATGGGGCTTCTACCCCTGGCCTGGACGCTGTCCCTCAGCTCTTCAGCTCAAGGCTACGGCTCTACCACTTGAGCCACAGTGCCACTTCTGGTTTTCTGCTGGCTCATTGGAGATAAGAGTCTCACAGACTACTTTCCTGTGCGGGCTGGCTTTGAACCTCGATCCTCGGATCTCAGCCCCCTGAGTAGCTAGGATTACAGGTGTGAGCCACTGGCACCTGGCTTATTTCTGGCTTTTTTGGTGGTTAAATCGGAGATGAGAATGATCTCATAGACTAACTACTCTGCCTGGGATGGCTTCTAACTTCAATCCTCAGATCTCAGCTCTCTGAGTAGCTTGGATTACAGGCGCCCAGAGTCATTTATAGGTATATTTTTAACAGAAAACTCGGTGTCTGTCCAACACTTTAGGTTCAGGGCTAGCCCCTTCTGCTAAGGCAAGTCATGGCCAAGCCCCACACTTCCTGTGTCCTGAGCTCTTATCATTCAAAGGCCTGGGGGATGCAGGCGCCCAGGGACTACTGTGCTGCGTTATGATGGGACTTGAATGGGCCCCAAAGGTGCCTGCGCCTCCTCCGCGGTGGTCCCCCAGCGTGGCGGTGGTGAGGTGATGGAGTCTCACACAAGGGAGCTAGGTGACCAGGTGCACTGCCCCGGGAAGGGATTAACGAGGTTCTACCTAGGACCCTGAGGGCCTCCCTCCAGAGCAAGTGGTTAGAGAACTTGGTTCTAGAAGAGCAAGTCTAACCCCTTAAGTTTTCTTTTTTTCTGGCTTCCTGCCTTTCACCTGATCTCCTACACACACACACACACACACACACACACACACACACACACACACTTCTCAACCAATGGCCGAATCGATGGGGCTGCTTAATCTTGACCTCCGAAAAGTTTGATCTCAGTAAATCACTAGTCTTTATCTGTAAAGAATCCAGACTTGGGGGTTTCATAATAGCAACAGAAAGCCGACTAGTCAAATCTCCATCTTCCAGATGAGGACACTGAGACTGTAAACCACCCAGTCCAAAGACATGTGGACAGAGGTGACTGTAAGTCTGCAAGCCCAGGGCTCTGTCTCCTACCTGTGGTGGGGAAGATATATCATCTCCCAGAGAGGATGCAAAGCCTTTCTCTAAATGCTCGCCTGAGGTCATCTGTGGAGACATGCACACTGTATGACTTCCTTCCTGTTTCCTCTCCACTCCATCCCCTCATCCCAGCACGCGAGAGTGGGGATGTCCAATCACAAGAACAATGCAGGAGCCTCCTTCAGAAACCTGCAGCCTCCCAGTGAGCTGAATGTGGAGATCGCAAGGGCGCAGGAGCACTGTGTGCTTCAGGCTCAGGCCCTATCGCTACCCCTAGAAGCCAGGACTTGGTCTGCATTCCAAGCCAGTGATATTTTAATGAGGCCTGGGGGGGGATTTCTGTTATTGTGTGCTTGTTTTAGATTGGAAGGGAGGCTGGCAATGATATAATCCAGCGCCCTCATTTTACAAATAGGGAAGCTCAGGCTCAAAGAGGAAGACTAGAGAGATGAGATACAAACTCCCTAGGCTCCTGGGCCCAGGAGCTGCATCTACAAACTAAAGCATGGCCCTAGGCTGGCTGATTGGGGTGACCCTGAGGAACGGGTGCATGCTAGGAACAGTTCCACACTTTTCCATCATCTGGAGCCAAGAGGCCTCCAGCGATCCACCTACTTCTACCGGGAGGAAGAATCTAAGGATGGAGCTAGCAGTGAGCAGGAGCCAGAATTGGTCCAGTTCTGGAAATTCTGGAACCATGGCCATCCTCTGAAACCTGGATGCCTTGGTGATGTATATTCCCTGCCATGAGAAATCTAGAACTTATTTCCAGTAAGCATGCGGGCACGAAAGGGTGCTGGCACGGTGTGAGTGGCAATGAGCAAAAAGAAACGCGTTAATTAGAAAGCAGAAGGAGACACGGGGTAGCATGCGTGGGGGACACAGGACGGACCACACAGAGGTGCTAGTGTGTAAGCCGCGGAGGTGCAGCGAGGCCAGGGGTTAGAGAAGAAAGGCTTACTTCAGTAGTTTGATATTACACATAATCAGCTCCTTCCAGTTAACAAAAATCATAGCAACCTCTTTTTCTGTCAGCAGCTCAGACTCCATCAGGGGTTTCTGAAAGATCTACAGGTGCAGAAAATGAAGCAGTTCAGAAAGCAAAGTTAGCTCCAACCTTACACACGCACGCGCGCGCATGCGCACACTGGTCTGTTTAGAGCAACGGAGAGGGCTGGAGTGGATGGGGTGCCACCTTCCTGCAGAGGTGGGTGGGGCCTGGGGGAGGAGCTGAGGGAGGAGGAGCCCGGGGAACATCATTTGCATGATGGGGCTTAGTTCTGCCTATGAGAAGCTAGAAGGCCAGTTCAACTTGAGACAGGGAGGAAACAGAGCCAATGGACTAACAGGGGGTGTGAGCAAGTGGGTGGCTAGGGAGGGCTCCTTCATCCTCACATCCAGCATCAGCAGGACTGAGGCTATGGGTGCTGTCTTCTGCCCACAGAGCCAAGGCTCACAGTGATGGCTAAGAGGACCATCCCCCAAGCTCGGTGTGGATGTAGACTCAGTCACAGGTTTTAGGTGGGGCCCCATGTGGCTGAGCATGGTGGGGGGGGGAGAGGCAAGGGATGCTTCTGGAGGTTATCTGAGGACTGTCCATCTTTGAACTAAACTTGGCCAGGTTGAAGCTGATCCCAGGGAACCCTAATTCCTGTGAAGTTCGAAGCTGACGTGGAACCTAGCATCCCAAGGCCGCCCCACACAACTGTGCATCTTGTGTACTGCCCAAAGGCACGTCCACCCTACACAGGCATGATGCAATGTGGACATCCCGGCCTAAATATTAAATAGCAATCCAGTGCCTTGAGAACTGGCACTTTTTGGGGGGAGTCGTATCACTGTTGAGTGTTGGTGGTGGCCTTTTAGGCCAGAAACCCATCCTAAACTCCTCCAGCACAATAGACAACCCCGTGTGTCTCTTCTAGACTGCCAGACAAGAGGGCTTAGTGTTTGGAGGAGGAAGAATGGATCTCAACCTGTGACAGGATTTGTCACATTGTAAGTGATTCTCAGGTCCAGTTTGCCTTACCTTCCCCCCCCTCCCATTTCCTACTATGCACTTTTTTTTTTTTAAGGCAGGGCTGCCCAACTCTGTTGCCCTATCCTTCCAGACACAATGGCCAAGGCCCTCCAATGGCTGGCTACCTGGGAGATAAAGCAGATGAGGCTCACAGAGCCAGGGGAAGAAACATGTTCATGCGGAATGACAGATCTCTATCAAGGGCATTATGGAATTTGGGGAACCACTGGAGAGGTTAGCGAGCTGGCCACCATTTTTAAATGCCAACACGAAGGGCCAACCATGGGGCATTCACTAGTTGGTGGCTGAGCTGCAACTTCTCTGACTAGACCTGAGCGTCTCTCACTCCCCGTCTGCATGCATGCTGGCCCGTACGAGCTCCTCTGGCTTTGGGTACATCTTCAAAAGTGAGCTCTACTTCTCTGTGCATGAGAACTTGACCATCTCAACTCGGGAAAGATCTCCTGTGTCATTGGCCTTCCAGATGTCTCCCACCCCCATTCCCCCGCCCCCCGCCATACACACAATACATCTCAGGCTGAATGGGGGCCCAGGCCTCCTCCTGAACCTCCAGCCCTTACCACCACAGCTGCCATTACCTCTGTGACCAGCTGGAGGTCGTTCACATAGTTTTCCTCCGTGACAATGAGCTCGTGGATATACCCTTGTCGCTTCCTTTCAGTCGGGGTCAACATATCCAAAAGGTGTAAATCTGAGCACCCTGGAAGATACAACCATTGGGGCACCGTTTAGTCCAGGCTGGGGAAGCCCACACAGCTTCATCAATGAAGACACTCCATGTTCTGTTGGCTGCGGGGCTGTCTAGCCTAACTCCAGCATATCAGTGGGGGGGGGGGAGGGGGAAGGGCACGATTCGGGTCTCCCCTCAGAGGTAAGTTGGAGCCCTGGTTCCTGCCCACGAATGTGGCCTTCTTTGGAAATGTTGATGGCATGAAGTGCTGGTGGTGTCTCATGCAGAAGGTGGCCCAGAGAAGAGGATCAAGACACAGGCACAGACAGGAGCCCTGTAATGTAGCTGAGGCAGGGATCAGAGATCAGAGAGTTGCATCCAAGGGACCTCACAGATTCCAAGCAATTCCAGAAGCAGAACAGACCCCGCCCACAGCCATCAGAGAAAGCGTAGCCACGCTATACTGTGATTTTAGACTTCTAGCCCAAGAACTATGAGAAGATAACATCCTAGTTGTTTTAAGACACCCACTTTGTGGTTGTCATGGTGACCCTAGATATGAATACAGGTGGCACACTCTGCTTCATCAAAAATAGGAAAACAGCCAGGCCCTGGTTGCTCACACTGCTACTCGGGAGGTTTGGGTCTGGAGGATCACACTTCTAGTCCAGCCTGGGCATAAATGTAAGACCTCATCTCAATCAAGAGGAGGACTCAGTGCCAGATGCCTGGCATCTTACCTACGTGGGAAGCATAAATGGGCAGATCATGGTCAAGACTGGCCTGGGCATAGATGAAGATCATAGTTTTAAAATAATAAAGGCAAAAAGGGTGGGGGCTGGCTTGAGTGATAGAGTTCTCTGCTTAGCTAGCACAAGGCCCTGAGTTTAACTGCTAGTATCACTCCCAGCACCAATCCCACCATCACAAAAATTAACATGGAAGTGGGGCACCGGTAGCTCACACCTGTCATCCTAGCTACTCGAGAGGCTGAGATCTGAGGATGGCTGTTTGAAGCCAACCCCGGCAGAAAGGTCTTATCTCCAATTAACCACTGGAAACTGGAAGTGGCTCCATGGCTCCAAGTGGTAGAGTGCTAGCCTTAAGCAAAAGAGTGCAGGGCAGCGCCCAAGCCCTGAGTTATCAAGCCCATGACTGACCTTTTTTTTTAATAAACATGGAAAGTAATGTTGAGAGACTTGGTAGTAATGGGCTGCCACTTCCAGGCTATGCACCATACTAACAGCTTTACATTGGCAACTGCCTTTCCTACTATTATACTAGAATTGTCTCCATTATACAGATAGGGAAAGTGAGGCTTAAAGAGATGGGCTCGCCTCAGATTTTCAGCTTAACAGTGGTGAAGGCAAGAGTCTGTCTTGAGATTTTGGCCCTAGAGGGCCTAGGCTCTACCCCAGACCACCACCAGCTACACGCTCACAGGATGTTTGTCCTGAAGTTGGGTTTTGGAGGGTGAGGTAGCTGGGCAGAGGCTCCCGATGGACCTGGGTACCAGATAGAGCCAGACACATCCAGTCAGAGCTGGGAAAACTTTCCAGGACAAGGCCGCCGCCTGGTCCCATGGAAGCTGAGCAGCAGGCTTCAGGAAGGCCTCTGGCTCTAGACAGGCGAGCACAAGGCCTCTGTGCAGGCAATACTGCCCAGGAAAAGACTATATGACAGCTGTGTGCAAGGGTCATGTGTGGCTATACCCCACCCAAGGCCTGACAGGAAGCGTGATTCTCAGGAACACCCCAAATTCAGGCCTGGGCCTACCTCTTCTAGGCTAGCCGTTCCTGCCTCCCCAGATACACACCCTGCTTTGTTTTTTCTTTCCTTTTGTGCCAGCTGTGAAGCCAGAGCTTCATGGTCTGGCTCAGCTTCTTTGCTCATAGCAGAGGCTCTACCACTTGAGCCATGACTCCAGCCTAGCATTTTACTGGTTGGTTAGGTTAGTGAGAGAGTCATATAGACTCTTCTGCCCAGGATGGCTTAGAATTGTGACCCTCTAAGTCTCAGCCTCCTGAATTGCTAGGATGAAAGGTTTTTTGAAGCATAAGCTACTGTGTCTGACACACACTTGTTTTTATTAGAGGATGTTTAAATCACAGAAATCCAATTTGTAAGACAGACCAGGAAGTATTCCCAGAGGGGAGGGTGTGGAGTCTCATTCCCTCCGGCATTTCCTCCTCTCTCCTTCCACAGGGGGGCGCAGTGGAACACTGTGTGAAACCCCAGCTCTTCTCACAAGGCCGATCTACCCCAGTGGCAATCAAGGCAGGCACCTTCCATCTTGTTACATAGAGAAGCAAATCCAGGTCCCAGCCAATTCTTGGAGCCCAGTGATCTGGGTAATTTGGGGGCACACTAACATTGGGGAAGGCTGGCCCAGACTACCCAGGGGTCCTCAGAGACTCCATCTTCTGGATTCTTGTGCTCAGAGACTGCACAAATAGCATGATCCCTCTGGGCAAATGCGATCATGGACATCTGCTCCAGAGATTACAGCCAGGACTGGTCTAATCTTTGGTTTTGTTCCCTCTCTTGGCCAACTGCCCTTGGTCGATGCCCTAGCCAGGACAGGCAAGAGAGTGCCAGGAAATGAGCCACTACTTTATTAATACTCTCCAGGCCTTCAATCCTGACCTCACTCAGAGCCACTGTATATGGCTGGGCCAGACTCCCTTGGGGCCACAAGGTGAGTGTGACCTTTGCACTAGTTGCAGAGATAGTTGAACACACACCCTCTCCACAGCCACTTCCTCCTGTGTGGGGTGTTGATTTTTTTTTTTAATGACAACATCAGCATTAGTGGTGACTCTCAGGAAGGAAATGAGACAGAATTGCTCACTCCTTCACTTCAGCCACCTTCTGCACAACTGTCGAGCAGGCTCAGCACAGTGGGAAGCCAACAGGCCACCCTGATTTCTCAGCCTTCTCTTGGGAAACCCTCCTGAGTTGGTAGGGAACAGTATACCCAGTTTCTGTCCTATTATTTTTTTTCTTTTATTGCTCATGGTGCTTGAACTCAGGATCTGAGCACTGTCCCTGAGTTCTTTTTGCTGAAGGCTAGCACTCTACCACATTGAGTCACAGCACCACTTCTGGTTTTTCTTGTAATTAATTGGAGCCTGCCCCAGGCTGGCTTTCAACCCTGATCCTCAGATTTCAGCCTCTTGAGTAGCTAGGATTACAGGTGTGAGCACCAGTGCCTGGCTCCTGTCCTGTTTTTTACCCCCACTGTTTTGACAGTGAGGCTAAGGCCCTAGGACTCGGGCTGGTTCTTGGTCAAGAGCAAATGTAGGCCAGCCTGAGTTGCTGTGGCTCTCATGGAAGTCATCTCCTCTGCAGTTCTCAGGACACTGGCTTCGATGGGGACATTAGAATACAGACGCAACCCACAAACACTGTGCTGCCACACTTTCAACAACACGATCAGGAACACAGCACACACTAGGTGGACCAGTCTTTGGACTATCCTTCCAGATCATATTTCTTCTGGAGAAATCTGATGGGTAAAATATACTTGTGTACCCATGCATGATATTCAAGTACACTTTACACACATTTTAAGTCTTTTCTTAAAGACTATTTCCAGACCTCAATCATTCATTTTCTCACTTATTCAGCAAATATCTACTGATAGCCTACTACCATGAGTCTTGTCACTAACTGTGCTGAGCACTGCAGGAGACTGACCCTCCAGAGTCCAGATCAGAACCCTGGGGTTCAGTATTCCACCCCCTACCCAGCTGAAGATGGCCCCGCCCCTCCCAGGCCTTCTGAAGGATGCCACTGTTCTTCCTCAAGGGTAGGTGGTAATCTCCACCTCCTCCAAGCTCAAGAAGGCAACATGACCCCCTCCTGCTAGGCTGAGGTTGGAACAAGCCCTTTCTTCCCCCGACCTCCCACCAGGTTGAGGGGTGTACTGCACCCCCATCCTACTCTACCCCAGCGATATATTGTCCTAACAACAAGATGACTAACTGGCATCAGGCAGGCTCAGTCAGAAGTGCAACTCAAACAGCCTACAATCCATGGGACAGAGAACTGCCAACAGATCCCCCCCCCCCCCCGCCCCAGCAATACTAGCACGCCTAGAAACGGAGAACCAGACCGTGATGACACAGCAAGAAGGAGGGACCAGGGACTACAGGGACACATCAGAGCAATGGCGGGGTGGGAAGCAAGGCCGTGTCAGGAGAGATGACTGGTGCAAGTTCTGAAAATGCTCAGAGGCAGAGCAACTCCATAAGGTCCAGGAGCCCGAGGTGCTGAGGCCAGCTCAGGATGGGCCCTTGCATAGCCTCCTGCTCTGGACAGCTTTCGCCATCCCACCCAAACACCTAAAAGACCCAAGGCAGAGCTGGAGAAGCTGAGCGGTATCAGGGGATTGGAGGGGTTAGGGCTGTTTGCCCCTAGTGAATTCCACTCCATGCAGGTCCATTTGCCATCCTGTCTGGAGACAGGAGCCTGGGGTTCTGGTGGCCTCTGAAGGACCCAGAAGATAACAAAAGGCAGATGCTCTGTGGGAGATTCAGTTTCACATTACCCAGCAACCACATTGGCTTGAAATGGTCTTTTCAGTCACAGAACTGCCCCCCACAGGATGCTGATTAAAAAAGCCTTCTGGTAAATGCCAGACCAAGAGAACCATGAAAGACTTTTTCAAGTCCCTTTTTTTTTTAAATTGAACTCAAAAATATCCTTCTTTTGAAAACTTAATATTTAGAAAAACAAGGTAGTTAAAAATAAAACCACCACTATTGGAAGCAGGGCAAATAGAAAGAAGTTTTCTTAAGGGGTGGGAAGATGATGTGGGCCCTCTCTCTTTTGGGGACTAGGATAAACATGGTCGCTGGCACTCTGTCCCAGTAAAAAGTGAGAGGATAAAGCACAGAAAATGATTTTCCATGACTCTCGGGGAGGGGGAAGGAAGTCTCCTGAACACAGTCTTCTCACAGCTGAAATAATATTGCAAATGATGCTAAGCAGTTAACCGTTCCCACGTTACAGCCCACATAAAACTC